CCGTTTTACGGATTTGACCTAGTTGTGTTGTAGTGAGGTATACAGCTTCTGTAATAATTTATCTCTGTTTTAACTGTCATACTTTAGTGTTAAACACGGCTACTGTATTCCCTTCTTTACTGTTTGAATTCTTTTTGTTTTACTTCTTGTGTTGCGGCACACTGTGCTGTATTAACTTCTTTATGATTAGAACATTTCAATTATATCCTCCTCTTGTGTACAACGCTACTGCATGCTCTTAAAAAAGTGGCCCCTGTTGCTCAGTTGTGACTTTCATCTTGTGTACACAGCTATTATATAATCTTACCTGGTCGCAGCTGTTCGGTTGTAACTTTCACCTTGTGTACACATCTACAGTATACTCTTAATTAATTAGTCGCAGCTGTACATTTGTAATTCTTATCTTGTATACACAGCCTATTGTTACTCTCAATTAACTGACCGCATTTGCTCAATTGTAACTCGCATCTTGTACATACACCTACTGTAGTAATCTTCACTGGTTGGAGCTATTCAGTTGTAACTCTAATCTTTTGAACACAGCTACTGTATACTCTTAACTGTTCGCAGCTGCTTAGTTGTAACTCTCATATTGGTAATGTATGCTCTTAATGGTGGCAGCTATTTCAGTTGTGTGACAGGGTACCAAAGGCTGTTGATTATTTTAGTTTGATTACACTTGCGAAAAAAATCCGACAAGGCTTGAACTTAAAAGAGGACGGGGCAAGAAGTTTGGCCTCTTAGATTTCCTTCCGCTGGACCGACCAGTCGCCCTAGAGAGAAGGACTGTGTCGAGGGATAGGCTGGCAATAGTTTCTCGCTGATAGTATAGTTTAGTAGGAGATATGGTGTTAGATATAAATTTCCATCATAGTCAGATCTGAATATTTTCCATTAGCTAAACTGTGTAAAGTTAGACATCAGTGTGTAACATCGCTCGGATATATTTGGATTTTGTGTCCCTAGAAGCGAATTTTCACCTTTACTAGATGAAGTGCTCAGTACATATGTTTGTGGACACGATGTTGGCTGTCAATGTAGTGTCTTCTCCTTCTTCTTCTTCGATCCTTCTGTTAGAAAACTTATATCAGGAGGCTGGTTGGTAGCCTTTATGAAAGCTATCGTGGAATCCATATCCTCTCGTGTACCATACAGTTTTGTCTTCATTGTGGTTGGAACAGGCCAGATTGCGTCTCTGTTCTCAGCATACAGTTGACAGTGTTGGAGCAAATGCTCAGCATTTTTGGGTGCCACGCTGCAGGGACACGTCTCCGTATTTCCTACACTGAAAAATGTGAACATATGTTGATGGCCAGTAAAATAAACAGATGTTCAGTGGGATGGTTTTATTCATTTGCTTTATTCAAGATAGAACTTGTAGTTCGTGCACGTGGTCTGAATATAAGTTGCAGTCTATTGTTGCAGTTGTGTAACACAATTATTCACGATATCCGTTGCCAGAGTTTTGATCATAATTCATGGTCCCTGCACAGAAAAACCCCTGTCCCTTCTATACTTTTCCTGTTTTTGCTTTTAAGCGCAAAACTACTTATTGTCCTAACGATAATTTTCTTTTTCCTCATCTCGCTTTCTTACTTGTTTTCCTTTTTCCCTCTGTCAGTTAGCACAAAATGGAGCCCAACATGTGGGGCTTCTATATCGCAGACTTTGGGTAGGTGTGTAGTTAGTTATTACATAATTTCATTCATAAAGGAGTAGTGTTGTCGATTAAACGGTAGGTGGCCAGTGCATTATTTTGTTTGCCAAGTCTAGTCGGTTCAGATTATCATACTGACTGACATTTAACGAAGGCTCAGAACTTGTATAGGTGCGGTCTAGGTAGTTTATACATGTGGAATTAGATGTTACTTAACAGTTTTGTTTACTAAGTAGTAGTCAGTGACCTTTGTTCACGGAGTGGTTTGTGCCTATTGTTCACTAGGAGTGGGTTGTGTCTCTTGTTCTACAGTGGTGTGTGAATTGTTTACAGGGTGGCTTGTTTACGTCTCGACCTAAGCTTAGGGTCAGTGTATTTGTTATTCTGTCTCCTTATCAGGTTTATCTCTAGGTCTGTTTATATTAGGGAGTCTTGTTTTAAGTACGCCGACCAAGCCCAGTTCCGCTTTGAAGTCCATTAACATGGCCGTAACTAGTCAGTACATTGTAAGCATCGGCGAGGTAATGTCCGATGTCTGATTAGTCTATTGTAGGTTCCCCAGAGTCGCGTATGGACGAAAATCACATGTATAAGCTCGAGAAATACTGTGATTTAGCAGCCGGTCTGAGGAGAGACGAGGCGTACACAGTGCGTGTCTTTGCCGTCGAAGTGGGAGCGAGAGGTCTCGTCTCCACTTCACTCTACAATAGTGGTTAAAAAACTAGGATTAATGAACGGAAACGGACACTTAAACGACTGGGCGAGGTTGCTGAGAGGGCCTCGAGCTGGCTTTGGACGCAACGAAACAACGTAGGGGACGGGCCTCGGTGAGCTGGTCCGGGTGTCTAGTGGAATAGGGTTTCTCATCCGTTGAAAGTTCATCGTGTCCGAATTATCTGCCAGTGTTCCTCTGCCACCTGCTAACAAAAGTCCAACATGTTTCCGGTATACCAATCGTAAGCTTGTCGCTCGGTCGTCCAGGTATGCAGACTGCTCTAATTATGCTACCGCGACGACTTCTTTACTCACAGTACCTTCTGCAAATCACCAAGTCGTCTGGTCCCTATCCGAAAAGAAAGCACCATCCGGTAATTTCGTGCAGCAGGGAAACCAACCCTGAGCTTCATAAACTCAGGTGGGCCCACGCTCTGAAAACGTCCAGGAGCTCGTGGGCCGAAACGTTTGTCGACGAGAGATTACTTCTACTGACGATTAGTAGATCCCTGCTGTACATGCTCCCCTGTGGAGTTTATTCCTATAATCGGCACCTGGCGAGTAAAGTGGACAATACTGCGCTTACCGCCCTTGCTTACCAACATCTTTAGGAAGACTGGGTCGATCTTTAATCGAAGGCCAGTCATAAATAACACCCACCATAAATAAGGGTTGGAGGATTCCAACCGAAGACTGGCGAATGCAATTACCAACCCCTCCCCCCCCCCCCCTCCAACCTCTCCTCCTCCACCCCATTGTATAATAAGAAGAAGAACACCACGGGGAAGCATGTAAAGCAGGGGTCCACCGATCATCAATGTGGCATGAAATACATTGGTGAAACAGGTCTACGGCTGGCTGAGAGGTTCCGACAACATCTTTTGGATTTTCAAAATGGTGCTCTAAAACCAGTACCGTTGCACTTTAATTCCTAAGATCACCAAGCTGTCCTCGACATTGAGGTGACATCCATTAAATCCAGCCACTCCAGCGACAGAGCCTGCAAGTCTCTTGAGAATCGCTTTATTAATACTTTAGGGGCTTTAACACCCTCCGGACTGAAATGCCAACACAGTTTCATTTAAACTCCCAGTGGATTGAACTGCCCTCACAGCTTTATCTCTAACACCCTAGTTATGGCCCCTGGTACTCATCAACAGGGGGTATTTCTGCCCCCAGCCAACACGTGTAGGCATTCTGCTGAGTAACCACCGACCTGGCTGCTTCGAGATACCAGCTAAGTGATTTTTTTGTGTGTAGTATTGTTTGATTTGCATTTGCTGATCAGGGCTCCACAGCCGCAACGTTCATGTTTTGTTTGTTATTGTTAAATTGTGAAGCTTGTTAATATACTTTCCATTCGGTTTTATATCTTTTCTTGATATCAATAGAAAGGTTTCTCTTCGACGATTGTTTCGGCCCTTTATCTCCCTAAACAGTCTCGGAAAGTGGACCGACCTGGTTAATGACGCCAGGCCTCAGACATTCCCTGCTGCACTATGTCATACGTTCGGACACGGACAAGACGAATGTTGACTTTGCAACAGGTATTGTGAGACTTAGGAAAGACTGGAGGCTGTGGAAAATTGTGAATATATTGGGTCATTAATTACCAACAACGGTGACTATCAATTGCTCTTCAAAGACTAGAACAACTAAATAAATTATTATGGAGTGGGGCAGACAGAACTACAAAAATTAGATTTCTCAGAGCACGCATCTTTCCCATTGCAACATACGCCTGTGAGACCTGGACACTTAATAAACAGTCACAAGCTGAACCGCGCATAAATGCCTTTGAAAAGAAAATGTTATAGACGGGTTCTAAAAACATCATGGGTTAAAAAATATATATATAACAAATGCATCCATACTTCAAGAACTGAATATTGAAGAAGGTTTGGTTTTTAAGGACGATACAACACAGAAAATTTAAATATTTTGCTCTCTTGAAAAGTCACCTTGTTTTTGGAGAAAACAATAATGTAGGAGCATATGCCTGGAAAGAGAGGAAGGGGGAAGCCAAAGAGAAGATGGGTACAGGATGTGGCGGATGATCTCCAGATGGGTGTATCGGACGCGAGACATCATGCTTGTGATCGAGAAGTTTTCCAGGAGGTTGTAATGGGAGTAACGTTCTGCAAAGGTCATGCAACTGACTGACTGACTGACTGACTGACTGACTGACGGACTGACTGACTGACTGACTGAATTGCAGTTTTGGAAGTTGATTATACTGATGACAGTGAGGACAACTCAAGAAATTGTGGATTGTGGTGTTGGTGTTGATTATGGAGTGATGGTGGCGGTTGTGGTAATGATGGCGGCGGTGGTGGTGGTGATGTTGGTGGTGATGATGATGGTGGTGGTAGTGGTGATGGTGGTAGTGAGGATGAATATCGTAGCGGTGAGACTGTTGATGAGGATATGCTTGATGGTGGCGATTATGATAAAAATGATTACAATAATCACAGCGATGATGGTGATAATGATTATTATTATCATGTTGATTCTGTTAACGACAGCGACGTTAATTACAATAGTTACAATTACAATGATTCTGCTAGTTATGACGATATTATTAATGATAGTGATTTTAACAACTGCGATAATAAATACAACTACTCACCCGAAATGCAGTCTTTATGTTTGCTATAAAAAGCACTTCTCACGTTCTGCATATGCTCCACCAACGCAGACTCCCTTGGCCCTTCGATGGCGGCAAAGACAGCAGCGCCAATGACAAGGAACAGCAGGTAGAGCACGGTCAGTATTAGTAGCCGCAGGTTGCTTCTTCTAATGCATGGGTTGTTGGATGTTGCCTCAGGTTCAGCTCCGGTGATTGGTGTCGTTTCGGAAGACATCTCTTTGACCATTGTGGCTTCAAGTCTGTTTTAGGAAAGATGCTTTGTGTATGTTTGAACTAGCAATTCATACTTGTTTATTTTACTGTTTCTGAAACAAGCTTTTTCTGAATTTATTTTTCAGATGTTTCAATAATTCTATCGCGTCAAGACAGAGAACTGTAACACAAATCGTTGGATATTGTGTTTTTTCCCCCTGTGTGTTCTTGTATAACTAATAACTGTATTTGTATCTTATGAATTTATATTAAACACGTCGTTTAACACGACTTGACTGTTCGATAGACAGACTTGACTGTTAGGTTTTTTTTAGCTTTGGGGCAGTGAGATGGGTGTCCCTCTCTAGATCAGGGTCGCCTCACGTGGACAATTCGAGACCTGAGGAAGAAAAAGTCGATAAGCTGCTCTTAGAAATGACAATCTCAAGTATTAAAATTAACTCAGATTTGCTACTAAATCCATCACCATAAGATGTAAGTAATTAAGGGGCAATTCCACATCTCAAATCGTATTCTGGCACAATGAATTATCTCCATGTTTTTATAGTCGAGTCGACAGAAGTAATGTCAACAGGAAGAAAAAAGCAGAACTAAATGTAGTGGAGGACTGCAAGGACATTAAACAGGCATCCTAATTTAAATATACGTGAACAACATTCACCGAAGGTGGTGAATTGGATGAAGAAATTAGGAAGAAATTACCATAAGATGCAGTGAAGCACAACAACTATTCGGACAGATAGCACCCTCATACACCATACGACAATCCCGAGCAGCAGAAGGAAACAGCTCATACAGAGCATAAATATGCTGCCAGTGCCAAACATGGTCCCTCACAAACAACCAGAAAGGAAAATTAGTAACCATGGAAATGAGATGTCTGAGAAGGGACAAAATCGGGAATAAGGTCATAAGAGAAAAAGCCCGCACAGAACCAATTGTAAATTACATATAAAGACAGCAAATGAATTGATTTGGCCTCTTATATAGAATGCACTGTGACGCTATACCATACAAGGCATGCATCAACAGAGAAGGACGAAGTAGAGCACAAGGTAGACCAAGAACAGAATGGAAAGATAACACCAGAAAAACTCTACCGGAAGAGCAAGAAGTAAAATCTTCCCTGACACACACAGCGATAAAAGAGGAACAAATCAGCAGTACAAAAGAGGAGACATGGAATCCATTCACTGAAGACTAATTCAACGGGAAAAAGGGGGGTTTGGGGATAAAGGTTCTGAAAGATGTTCAACACTGAAGAGACAACAGAGGGGGATTTTTAACCAGGTGGCAACTGATACTACTAGCATGTCAACTCCTTGTTGGCTACGGAAGAAGGAAACTGAGCACTTGTTGGAATGTCCCAAGTGCAGTGGTGATGCTTCATTCATTCACTCATCCAGCGGTAAATGAAGAAGTGAAGAAGAACAAGAACAAGATATGACACTCGATGTTTGCTGTGGTTAGTATCCAATTAATTGTCTTAAATACTCAGAAAACTCCAGGGTATCTCCATTGTAGGCTGATTAAAACTCGAACTACAGATGTTTGTTTTTAAATCCCACTCAAAAAGGGATTCGAACTCATGCCCAAGGGGCCGTAAAGCCATTATCTATCTTTTCTTTAAAATCCTGGCTTCTATCACAACATTTCATACGCTTGCCTATTTGTCTTCTATGGTATATAACATCTGGCTATAGACAGGGCACCACGGAGAGCAATATTATAAAGGTTGTGTGTGGTTCTGGAACAGGACTGCAGTCCAGAAGTGGATGAACAACAAGAACTTTTCGCCAGAGTTTACAACTGGTGAACGCGAAGAAGAAGATATTACGTTTAGAAATTTATTTCAAACAGTTATAATGAATATTTCATTGTCCAGCTTCCCCAAAACAGCGTTAGACCATAGCAGTTGCTATTCTGATCATTCTTTGAATAACCGTCTGTGGGACACTTTTTTTTTAAACGACTTCATGTATTTAATTTCGAAGATTTCTTCTTCATTCAAAGTGTAGTGAGACTTAAAAACACCCTATCTGAGATTTTAACAGAGGCGTCAACAGCTAGGAGCCCAGGCACAATGGGGTTCCCCAACAATGACCTTAACGGCCGTGATTGAGGTGAAAGTTTCTATACATCTGCAGCGGAGACTCTCACGAGAGCATACACACATACACATAAACACAAATGAACATATAAGCACACATAGTGTAAATACGAACGTCAACACAGCGTAGTAGTAGCAGCAGCAGCAGTAGTGGTGGTAGTAGTAGTAGTAGTAGTAGTAGTAGTAGTAGTAGTAGTAGTAGTAGTAGTAGTAGTAGTAGTAGTAGTAGTAGTAGTAGTAGTAGTAGTAGTAGTAGTAGTAGGAGTAGTAGAGGTAATATTAGTTGTAGTATTAGTAGTAGTAATATTAGTAGTAGTGTTGGTGGTAGTGGTGGTGGTAATAGTAGTAGTTGCTGTTGCTCATGTTAATTTTTTTTCTCATTTAAGTAGTTGTAGTAGCAGTAGTAGAAAAAGAAGCACCTGCTAGAGCAGTGGTGGTGGTGCTTTTCGTAGTAGTGGAAACACTAGGCGTTGTGGTAGCAGTATTTGTAATCGTAGTGGTTATTGTAGCAAAAGTAGTAGTGTTGGTTATAGTAGTAGTAGCAGTTGTTGTTTTTGTTGTTGTTGTTGTTGTTGTTGCTCGTATTCGTTTTTTATCCCTATTTTAGTAGTAGTATTAGTAGTAGTAGTAGTAGTATTAGTAGTAGTAGTAGTAGTAGTAGTAGTAGTAGTAGTATTAGTAGTAGTAGTAGTAGTAGTAGTAGTAGTAGTAGTAGTAGTAGTAGTAGTAGTAGTAGTGGCGGTCGTTGCTGTAGTAGTGGTGGTGTTAGTAGTAGTAGCTGTTGTCGTTGCTGTTGATGCTCGTTTCCTTCCCTTATTTGAATCAGTAATAGCAGTAGCTGTTGTGGCCGTAGTGATTGATGGTGGTTGTAGCAGTTGTTGTGTCGTTATTGTGATGTTGGTGGTTGTGGTTTCAAACAGTATGTCAGTGCTAACAATCAAGTACTGAAATCAAACATCTTTAGTGTAGTGAGTGGTTTTCTAAAGAAAAGCGCCAGAAAAAAAATTCTCCACTTTTATTACAAAAAAAAAAAAAATCGGGATAATTGCAGTCGAGCTAATATCAAGCAAGAAATTAATTTCCTGAACTGTGACTAAAAATATAAACGGAATAAAGGGGTTCAGAGAGAGAGAGAGAGAGAGAGAGAGAGAGAGAGAGAGAGAGAGAGAGAGAGAGAGAGAGAGAGAGAGAGAGAGAGAGAGAATAGCGAACACACACAAGAGAAATTGCACATTTCTGCCGCAGCCTGTCGCGACACAAAGAAAACAGTAAGGGCGTATTCTGGCCACCAGTCCTTACATATGGGATCATGTAAATAACCGATATAACCAGTTAAAGGTCTCTTTTCCAGGCTTTCAGGCGTATTGGGAATATAGGGCTAGACCTATATTTGTATAGACCAATGGTCACTCGGTGGGTGATGTGGTGAGTATCCCATCGGCCGTCTTGACTTACCAGAACTGCACCTGGTACCCACTCAAGACTGGGTCGAACTGGCAGTCAAGGCCATTTTTGAAGAAGAAAAAAGTCCGGCTCCGTCAGGACGCAAACCCTTGATCTCTCGATCCGCAGGGGGGCGTCTAGCCGCCTACGCCATGGTGACTCCCTGATAATCAGAGTGCAGTCTGTTTAATCACAGAAGCACACTCGAGTTCACAGTACGTCATAAATTCACAGCTACTAATTGAGACCTTGGAGACCTAAGGGTTTACCGGCTATTGATCTGTATCGTAGACACATTTTTAACCCCTTTAATCCCACAGTTTCGCTAGAGATGCTCAATGGACTAAGAGCCGCTGAGAATAAACGACGGGTTAATTGCTGTACGGGTGTTTTTATATCCGGGGTTAGCTCCAGTGCCGACTCAGTGTAAAAAGGGTATCAGGAAATATAAAAGGAAAGTAAAGAAGTGTCAGTTGACTTACATCGGTCGAACCGAGAAACAGTTTGAAAACAGAGTGACAGAAGACATCCATAATGGCTCAACACACACACAACTTAACAGACGTTTGCAAAAAAGTAATCGGGGCAGTATCAGTAGATGATATGTAAACAGAAAGATCACGCGATCAATTGAAGTTACCACGGTCAACGAGTGACCGATTTTGATTATGAATTTCCGGAGGATAAATGTACACAACTAGACAATGATCAGCAAGTAAAAAAAATTGATTTTGTGCTTCATTATATGTTGATTTAACTCTGTAGTAATTGACCTGACGAAATACAGCGAAATATGCACGCAATAAATTATGCGATGTCTTTGTTTGTGTCCGATTTATTACACACAAATACGTTAGTTGCGTGTCCATTACAAGACGTTGCAGAACCAAGACGAGCATTTGTTGTTAGCCGTTGTGGTTTTTCTAGGCAAATTTCCATCCGTAGTTTGACACGCGCGCGCGCGCACACACACATACACATAGACACACATGCGCATACGCAAACTAGGGGAAGCAGTAAAAGCCATTCCGTAGAGATAAAGGGAAATTAAAACAACCAGAACAAGGGAATTAATCCCGGATTAAAAGAGGGGGGCAAAAAAGGAAGGGGTGAATAATACAGAAATGCAAAATGATAGGAAGCTCTAAGTAATGGTATCTGGTAAAATAAAGAGATAGGGGAAGTAGAAAGAAAACCCTGAGTGGGATATAGAGGACCGAAAAAACAAAAGGGAAGGGGGTTATACGCTGAGAGGTGGGGACAAACACATACATATACAGAACACAACGGACGTCAGATGTAATAGGTTAAACAGTCTATTACAAATAAACTAAATCACTTCAAATGGAAACGTTGCAAGTGTGATTGAAACTAAACTAACTATGCCATTGTCTTGTTAACTGTTTATATTTTTGTTAAGGTTGTATTCGGCACGTGACATCACGGGCAGACAAACAATT